TTTTATTATTTCTGGTGTTCATTGTACTGCCATTATCAAAGATGAATAAATCGGAAGTATTCTCGCAAAAAAGTTAGTGTAAATAAAATATTGTCACAATTTAGGTAATGCTCAAGTAATTTAAAAAATATATTCACATAGTTAAAAATCAATGCAATTTTTACTAAGTGTTTGTGCACTTATAATAACAATTATTGTTTTGTAAAAAGTACATTTCAGAAAATGTTTGTTTGTTCTTAAATCAAAAAAGGAAAAACTAATGGAAAGAAATGGAAAAACAAGAAGGAAAGGGAGCTGAAACATTTTGTAAAATACTCCCTCCGTAAACCAATATAAGCGGGAGTACATGATGAACTTCTCTACTTCTAAAAAAAGGCGAGTACATGATGAACTTCTCTACTTCTACAAAAAAAGGAGAGTTGGTTATCCTCATGGATCCCTCCCCTTCGTCTGACGCTTCGACAACTGATGGAGGGGGGGGGGGTCTTGATGCCCTGGCTCTGGGTAGTAATTTAGGTTACGTTATTTTCTCGAAGGGATGGCGTTTAGGTGAAAGACGATATCTCATCTTCGAGTTGGTTTTCTGGGCTCCGACCCTTCTCAAATTTATCCATCATAATGGATTCGATGAAGCTTCGGCATAGATTCCTGCCATCTCTTTGTGACTCTGAGGTTATGGTTTCTCGCCCTATGTTCGTGACAACGATATATGGTGTCAGGTGCTTCCAATCGATCCAAGGGTTTAGCGGTGACGAGTGTAGTTTCAAAGTGATGGTCTGTAGGGCACATGCACGAATACTTCTCAGTTGTCGTCGACAAGGTCAGGCCGACTCTGATAGGGGAGCGACAACAATGTCGCGTCAATGATTTGTTCTGACGGCGGTAGTGGTCGTTCGATGAGCTCACTATAACTTTTATTATGTTAAGGATTTGTACTTCTGGTCAACTAATAGGTCTGGACCTTTTTGGGTTTTTTCTCTACTACTAATAAAAGAGCAAACATTATCTTCTCTTCACGCACCCCATTAAACGTACACAGACCTATTACCACCCTACGATTAGGCCCACTAAAATCAATCTAATGGTCAACCTTAACCTCATGTGTTGATTGGGGTGCACTTAATAATTTACACACGGACGGACTGTTCCACCGCAGAGGAAATCACCTCCACATCCCTCCCAATCATCAATCACACGCAGGGAAACAAATAACTTCCCATCGCTACACCATACCATACTGGAAGGGAACACCTGAAATCACGCATCATCAGGAAGGAAACAATTATCCCATCTCTGCATCATAGCACCGTCGCCCCGACCTCGCCGCCCGACAGATCCCCTCGCCCTGGGGCAACATCGTCTGCTTCCGGAACGACGCCCTCGCCGCCCTGCACCGTACCGTACCGTGGGCAGCCGTTCCTCCGTCGTCACCTCCTCGCTACCGGCAAGTCCCTGAAGGCCTAAGGTGAGCAGAATTTATGATACAGTCAATCTACTAACCGCACCATCTTGCTTGACATCAATAAAAACCAAAAATCTTGAGCATGTATCCTGCATAAACATAACAAGCATGTTTATTCATAATAATATTGTGTGTACGTGAATGCTATTTGCCACTAATATGCTTTAATTCAACCCTCTTGGCAGATTGTACTAATACGCGGCGGTATGTCATCTCCCAATCGCGCGGGGGCACACACCCCCTTTCAGGATATAACCAACTCCCACTCCGTGGGTAATTAACTGCCTACTAAATGCTATGGTTTTTCTTGAATGATGAACACCGTTATTGCTTATGCGCTAACTTTCTGTTTGTATTTATACAGACCCTAAGGAATTGAAGAGGCAGCGGGACAGAGAATACTATGCACGAAATAAAGATGCCATTCTCAAACGGCGTCGTGATGCACGCCAAAATAACGGGACTCCAAAAGCGCTGCCTAATGACCAGCAAAGTGTGCCACATACACCCCTGGCCATGACCCAAAGTAAAAATAACCTTGTACTGTTGGCTTATGTTCTGTTGTTCAGGTAACATTTTGAGACTCTGAATTATAACTATAATGTATCATAGATGTAGATCATATGGAGCAAAAGAGGCAACTGGAAAGGGAACGGTATTCACAAAATAGGGATGACATAATAAAAAGACAACGTCAAGCCTACGGTCAGAAAAAATTGTCTCAGGCTTCTACAGGGACCGGTGCCCAGAAAGATGAAACACAAACACCGATGTCCACATCCATTGGTAATGACAATCAACGCATTACATATGCCCCTAACTGTTGAAGCTAATTAGCTTTTTGCATCTATGTAGACCCTAAAGAGTTAAGGAGGCAAAGGGACAGGGAGCGGTATGCACAAAACAGGGATGAAATATTAAGAAGAAAACGCCAATCCCGTGAACAGTCAAAGACATCTATTGCCACCGTTAACAGTGTTGACAATGTGTCACGCACACCAGCTACAGGACAATCGGGTGTCAGCCAGCTACAAACAATATCATTTGCAGGTTTTGTGCTACCATCAAATAGTCATTTCCTTTTATTATCTCGCATATTATTAAGAGATACTCCCTCCGTCTCAACATAAGTGTCTCAACTTAAATACAACTTTGCACTAAAGTTAGTATAAAGTTGAGACACTTATTTCAGGACGGATGGAGTATATTAATATATGCACTGATGTGGTGACACCAAATTTCTTGCAGGCTTATCAAACATGCCAACTTCATCCCAATCACATGAAGGGATCCCTCCTCACAAGGACAATATTTTAGGAAACATTGATGAATCCAATTGGTTGCATAGGAATGATGCATATCAGATGGTAGAAATTGCAGGGAGACTGAGAGCTGTTGTTGTACCTCTTGGTCATGAAACGCAAACAATTTCCAATGTCACTGCAGATATTGCACCAGGTATATCATTAGGCATTTGTACAGTGTAAGGAACAATATTGCTATAATCACGCATCAATATTACTTATAGTGTAAATGTGTTTACCGTAATCTGGGTTCTCTTTCATTTTTAATGTATAGTGCCTCTTAATGCCTCCAATCAACCTCAAAAGTCCATGGCTAATGATAGGCGAGGAGTAGAACCAACAACAGAGACTGCTCAAAACACTCAAAATATGCAAGGTAGTTTTGCCGACCCTACGTCTACTAGAACACCTATATTGTTATGTCGTACTGATCTTATGATTTTCCATAGTGGGCAACGACCAGACAGCTGATCCATATGGAATATTTGAGCCTCCTGTTCAACAAACCAATTTTCAAGGTACATTATATATACCGTCGTTCCCATTTGAATGTCTTCATCCATAAATTTGAGGAATTTATATTTGACCAACATATTGCGTACTAGATTACATGGAGCCACTGCAGAATGGAGAAGCCGCATACCATGATCCTGATGAAGAAGCTATACTATTTATAGGTCAGGGTATGTCCATTATGTATTTTCCAACTTAGCACCCTCAAGTGCACACTTTAGTTGTATTGAGTGATAATTTAATACCTACTGTCCTTCTGTGCTAGATGTTGCTTTCGAGTCGTACCAGCTTGGACGCCAGAATGCACAAGTAGGACCTGTAGCAGTGATTGATGAATTCATATACCGAAACCTACCTACAAAGCACCATGTCCTAAAAAAGGTTGCAGACTGCCTTCACTGTGGGGCTTTGCGGTTTCCATTCGAGGGGCCAGCATTTTGTTGCAGAAAAGGAAAAGTCAATATATTTACTCCAGAGGTTCCAGAAGAGTTGAAACGGTTGTTTACATGTCAAGCTGATGAGGATGCTAAATATTTCAGAGAGCATATACGATATTTCAACTCGCACTTCTCATTCACAAGTTTAGGAGTCACCCTTGATCGCCGAGTCAGCAATGCGGCAGGAACTGGAGTATATACTTTTCGTGCGTGTGGCGGGTTGTACCACGCTCTTGATGATCTGGTGCCGGCTGATAATGGCCCTCGACATTTCCAACTCTATATTTATGATACAGATGAAAACTTGGTTCACAGGGCTAAGAGATCTCCAGACCTTAAGATAGATCTCATACGGAAGATTCTGCGAATACTAGAGCCTAACCCTTATGCGCAAGTTTTCAAGAGCCTTGGGTCTGTTCCAAATCTAGATGAGTATAGGATCTCACTAAACGGATATCAAGCTGGATCAACGAAGGTACAATGCCCCAACGGCTTCTCAGGTGGCAGCGATATGGGTTGAAGGGAGTGACCCACAAAATTGCTTTGACAGGAGTGTTGTCGTGCATGGAAAAAAAAGGAGAACGGCCCCTCTATATTAGAGCATACTATGGGTGCTATGACCCGTTGTCTTATCCCCTATTCTTCCCACGTGGGGAGATTGGTTGGAATCGTTGGATGCCATATGTTGGTCTCCCCGATAACAGGACCCATCATTCATCAGATAATACTACACCACAAGGAAACCAAGACATTGATATACATACAGGTATGTGTTCATTAACAAGGGTTAGGCTTGCTATTATTAATGTAAACTTATGTTTTCATCTATCTATCAGAGGAAAACTTGATTGCGAACAAGTTGGGAATTTTGTAGCACATGAAGACCATGCCACTGATTTACCTACAGGTATCGGTCATCATTTCTTATTCTTCAATTCTTATTGTGTCAATCATTATGAGTCCAGCCAGCACACTGATATTTATGTTGTCAATCTGTAGAGGACAACGATGATAACCCACATGAGGATTTTGGTGACAATGAGGTGAATGCAACACAATCCAGGAAATTTGTTAGTGCAAGGGAGTACTACTGCTTCAAGTTGCAGGTCAGGAAGAAACTTTTAAACATCATCTTGTTCGGGGGGCGCCTTTTCCAACAGTGGGCTGTTGACATGTATATGTTTGACTTCATTCTAGGTATTGGTCAGCGGCCTGATGTGATTATGTACAATTCATTGATGGATGGATATTGCCTTGTTGGCAAGGTGGAGGAAGCAGTGAGAGTACTTGATGCTATGAAGTCTGCTGGCCTCCAACCTACTACTGTTACGTATGGTATACTTCTTAATGGCTACTGTAAAATTGGAAGGATCGCCGCTGGATTGAGTCTTTTCAAGGAAATGTCACTCAGCGGGGTTAAGCCCATTACTATTATGTACAACATTATACTTGATGGGCTGTTTTGCTCTGGGAGAACAGTTTGTGCAAAGGAAAAATTCCATACGATGAATGAAAGTGGCATACCAGTGGGCGTTGACACATACAACATAGTTCTTAGTGGACTTTGTAAAAACAATTGCACTGATGAAGCAATAGAGCTGTTCAAGGAATTACGTGCTAAGAACGTGAAGATTAATGTCATGATACTCAATACTATGATTTTTTGCAATGTTTAAAACTAGGAGAATTGAAGAAGCCAAGGATTTGTTTGCTACTATATCAGCCATTGGGTTGGTGCCTTTTGTTGTGACTTACAGTGTAATGATGACGAATTTCATAAAAGAAGGGTTGCTGGCAGATGCTGATGATATGTTTTTAGCAATGGAGAATGCTGGCTGTGCTCCCAACTCCAGTCTGCTAAATCAAGTGGTCAGGGCGTTGCTAGAAAAATGTGCAGTTGTGAAGGCTGCAACTTATCTCGCTAAACTTGATGCTAAACAGCTGTCAGTTGAAGCTTCAACGATTTCGTTAATAGTATCTATCTTCTCAGGGGAAGGGAAACTAAGGGAGCACGTAAAATTGCTTCCGATGAAGTACCAGCCTCCGGAGATGTTCGTCTGACAATTGATACAGTATTACTTGAAACTTCCTACTGATGTTACTTGGTGGTATTCACTCATAGCTGACAGAATGTCATTGCCCCCACCTGCCGTTTTTGAAAATGCAGATAATTCATCCATTTTGCTGTCGCCTGATGTTTGATGTCACGTTCTAAATTAAAATAACAAGCCTGTGGCCTGAGTCATATGAGTTTCCCTCTTCTTGTGATGAAGAAGGCGTAACTCTGATCTGTGAAGTTTTGTTATGTCACACATTTAATCGTTTATGTTTTTTTCTTTCTGCCCCAGCATGAAGGACCAGTGTTGTGCTGCCGCTGGGGTTCTCATCTCAGAAACATTTAGTACATCAATTCATCGACTATGTTGTTGTTGTTTTTTCTGCTCCAGCTAGAGCGTGAAGGATCAGTTTGTTGTACTGCCGTTGGGATTCTCATCCCAGAAACATGTACAGTACCACGGTGCATTCGATGGCCCAATAGTCACCACCCTCCTCATCAGCGGTCTCTTCTTGATCTCGGTCTCTGGCGGCACTGGCAGAGTAGGAGGAGCTGAAACAAAAGAAAGCTTCTTTTTTTTGTGCTGATTACATGATGAGTGCGGAGCTAGAAGAGCAGGAAGGAAAATGAGAGCAGGGGAGGGGGAAGGAGCTTCCTCGTCCACGACCATGCCGGCGGCGACATTTTCGGACATTGATGCACACATTACACATATTCTGTATGGTCATGATCAGTCAGCCAGTCAATACCAGTACGCTTGAAAGTAGCTCCTTTGGTTGGAACACAATGCATGCTTGTCTCTGAAACCAAATAAATACTGCATTCTTTTTTTGGCTTTCTGTTGTGGAAATCGCAGGAGTTGATTATTTTGTTAGTCTTGTGACCTTCTGGTGTCTTCTCAACAATGGAGAAAAGTGAAGTAATCAGGGCCGGATGTTATCTTTCTAAAATTGATGAAAATGGAGTAACATTTTCCCGTAGTGTACAATCAGGAGAGGATTAGTTGACCGGCTGAGTCAACTAATTCTGGCCAAGATTCAATGAGCATAACTAAATTTAATTTTACAAAATATATCATTTCTTTCCATAGATTGTCACCCATGTGAAATCATTTAATCTGTACACTATGGGAAAATGTTACAAATTTAGAAGACCAAGCTTCATCCATTGGCCTTGAAATTTTGTTACCTCTGTTGTTCTTTGTACTATCATGATTGATTATGAATAGGTCGGAAGTTTCTTCCTTGAAAAAAAGAATCAAACAACATTATACTTAAATAGTGCATTACTAGGCGGCAAATGACACAGAAGAGGAGGCGCACGATAGATTCTTATGACAGGTAGAGATCAGAGATTATACTCTTTCTTCTGTAAACAAAATAGGCTTGTGATTGTCCACATCCATCACTCAATCATGCAAATCAAAGAAATGGTTTAGGAGTGGCTTCGAAGGACAGATCCACAACGGCCGTGGCAAGGCCTGCCGATGATCGAGGATAAGGACGCCCGCCTGGTCTTTGACACGCGGCCGTGCATATCGATGTAGGCTCTGGAGACAAGGTGCTCTTTTGAAGGGACAAGTGGATCCACGACTTCTCGGCAAGGGACATTGCCCCCCAGTTAGTGGCCACGGTGCATAACCGCATCCTCAATAGCAGGACGGTGCAACAGGCGCTGGACAATGATCAATGGATGGCCGATTGTGTGGTGGAGCACTAATACCTGGCCTTGATACAACACATGCACCTGTCACAAGCTATTACCACAGTGGAGCGTGACCCGAGCAGGCCAGACAAGTTCTCTAGGCCATGCTCGCAATCGGGAGTCTATACGGCAAAATCAGTCTACAACAACTTGTTCACTAACTTTGAGAAATCTAACACGGCGGCTTGCACCTGGAGGAGTTGGGCATCGCTAAAGTGCAAACTGTTTGTTTGGCTCGCACTGCAACATCGGCTATGGGCCTTGGATAGAATCATTGTACATTGTTTGCTGCCTTCTATAAAGATATGGTACGTCTTTGGCACACTCTCGAGAAAAAAAATGGTTTACTTATCAGATATTCAATTGGGTGCCCGGGCTCATCTGCACCCGGTGAGCGGTAAATTCAAAAAATAATAATCAAAAAATAAGTTTCAACAAATTCAAAGAAAATATAGGTGGAAGATGTTCCAATGTATGATGTCCGTGAGAAATTTCAGCTTTTTCAGGCGTCCAAGGAGCTCATGGCAAAAAAGACAGAATTAGACAAAGCAATACGTGAACAATAAACTTTCTTACAATCCTAAAATTTGTTTTTTTTCTGAGAGCTAATTAAATGTTCAAACTCCACGAAATTTCGCACGGACTTCACGCACATGAGCATCTAGCATCACAATTTTTTTTTAGAATATTTTTGAATTTTTGTACTATTTTAAATGAATTTATTGTTCACCTCAGATGTAGATGCACCCGAGAGCCAAACCCCGTGTTCGTTTCTTCTGAAGTATAGAATTGTTAGATTTTCAGTAATAGAAAATGAGGAAGAAGCCACCCCCTCACAAAGTGTATAAAGTTCCTTTTTTGCGTGGATTTGACCACCTGCATATGTGGCATGTACAAACTGTATGTAGTCTGTACATAGCCGATCCGCCCGCCCCCTCACTCAAATGCTCCGTCCTGGGCTTGGCATATTTTTTTTTTCTGTTTCTAACCTTCAAATAATAGGTGCGTGAGGTAGGATTCAAACTCCCAACCTATTGATTTACTTCCGCCCATTGTAACCAACTGGGTCAACTCATTTATTATGCCTAGTTACTCATTTTATTCTTGGTTGTGGATCTTCTCAGTCCAGTTTTCTCCTTCTTTGGTTTTGTATCGCCATTTGTCGGTTTTATTCCTTTTAATTTTTCTTTATTTCTTCTTATTTTTATCTTTTATTTTTATTTTCTTAAATTCGTGAACATTTCCTTCAATTTGTAAACTTTTTCAGTTTCGTGAACTTATTTTTTGAATCCGTGAACTTTTTCAAATGAATGAATTTTTTCAATTTCCTGATTTTTTTCTCAAATCCGTCACCTTTTTTCATATGGATGAACTTTTTGTCAATTTTTGATTTTTTGTGTGTGCAAGTGATCAACCTGGAGCATGGAATTGACGTCCCTGGCGCGTGCTACATGTGGCAGAAATTTGCTGGGTTGCAATCGGGATGGGAATGGGTCGGGTCGGACATGGCCTTGGATCCGGCCCCTGTGGCCCCAAGACCAATTTGAGAGGTCATGGGTCAACCCATCATATAAAGAATAGTCAATGGCCTTGTTGACTCGATGGGTATTTTGGGTCGACCCAAATTGCCGATCCAGTTGGTCACCCAGTGTTGGCTCTGTTGACCCAATCCCTGTTTGAGACCGACCAATGATGTGTTTGGTTTGAGGGCTATCCTTCCAGAGACAGGGATAGCCCTTTTTTTTGTGGCTGCCACCCGTTTAGATCTGAGACGAGGAGGGATAGGGTCAGCCAGATGCTCAAAAAGAGGGATGTGGCGACCCGCGAAAAACGAGCGGGTGGCGGCAACCACCCCGCGCGCGTCGTTGTGCTCACGCGCGAAACGTTTTTTCGGCTACATTGGCTCCCGCTTACCCCGCGAAACCCTCACTTTCCCCCATTACTCGCCTCTCTCTTCCCCGTGCGCGGCGGCGGCGCATCTAGCAGATAGCAGAGAGGCCGGCAAGAGGTGATTTCCTTCTCTACTCGTTCCTTATCTGATATCTCCTCTGCCTCGCCTTGCTTGTGACGGCCGGCCGTTGCGGAGGGTGTTCCCTGGCGATGCGGGCAAGGGTTTGAGGCGGCGGCGCGGCTGGATCTCAAAGCCGGCGGCGGCCGGCTGCTTCAGGAGGCGCGCACGCGGCTGGATCTCAAGCCTGGCGGCGGTGCCGCTGGATATCACGGCCGGCGGCTGGGGACTTCAGGAGGCGCGGGCGGCCGGTGACTGATGCGTGCGCACGAGTGCCTATATGTGGCCGAACGGCTCGTCCACGTGCGCACGGCTGCGTGTGCTAGATGTGTGCTAGTGTTCCGTGCTCATATGTGTGCTAGTGTTCCGGCTCGTCTCTGCTCATGTGTAGTTCGCTGATTGATGTAATTTTCTGGTGCAGGAAAGTTGAAGGCCACCGTCAGTACATCTAGCAGCAGCAGCACTACTACAACCTGAGGTTATTTCTCCCCTAAATCCTATTCTGTTCTTTAGTAAAATGTTTGACAGTGGAAACAGAATGTTGGTTTTGGTTCTAAGTAGTTGGCCATTTGTACATCTAGCAGCAGCAACACAACTAGTATTGAAATTTGTTCAAACGTAGATGGACAGCGAGACAAAATATAAAATATTTTAGCTGTCAGTCCTATACTGCATATTTTAGCTCTAAACCTTGTACTGCATATTATAGCTGAATCCTGTAATGCATTGTAGATGGACAGAAAGACAAAGATGTTAATTTATGCGGCTGCGGCGCAATGGTTTATCAACATGATAACATTGGTTGTTCAATCCAGAAAAAGAAAAAGGAGAGAAGCAATTACGTATGCCCCAATTGATGAGAGAGATAGGATGAGAAGAGAGTATTTTGACAACAAAATATGGAAGAATGACACAACCTGTGTGAACATGCTTAGGCTTCGGAGAGAACCTTTCTTTAGGTTTTGTCAACTCTTTAGGGATCGCAACTTGCTAAAGGACACAATACATTTGACTATTGAGCAACAAGTAGCAATGTTCTTGCACACCGTCGGGCACAACATTAGAAACATGGTAATTGGCGCCAATTTTGATAGATCCGGTGAAGTTGTGAGTCGTTACTTCCAAAGGGTACTCCATGCCATTGGCGAGCTTCGAGATGACCTTATTAGGAAGCCTTCATTGGAGACCCAAACCAAAATAGAAGGAAACTACCGGTGGGATCCATACTTTAAGGTATGAGACCAAGTGACAACTACATTTTGTCATTGTAGGCATGAATTTGTTTAGATCCTAATTTTTGGGTTTTTGTTTTCACCATATAGGATTGTATTGGAGCTATTGATGGTACACATGTGCGAGCCTTCGTTACACCGGATATGGAGGCTTCCTTTCGTGGTAGAAAGACTTATGCCACTCAAAACGTGATGGCGGCTGTAGATTTTGATCTTCGATTCACATATGTGTTGGCCGGGTGGGAGGGGACAACACATGATGCTCTAGTTTTACGTGATGCTTTAGAACGTGAAAATGGTCTACGTGTCCCACAAGGTAATAAATGAACTATATACATCTGTCATATCAATATGGGGT